TAGGCTACATCCTAAAATATAATTGTACGTACAATTATCATCAAGCTACACTTGAAAATTTATTTAATTATTAATTTATTGTCTTACCCACTTTAAACCATCATCAAGTGCTTGTAATAACTTCCAATTGTGATCTATAGTTGATTTTGATTAATAAGCAGACACATGCATTCTCTGTATGTTTAATAACGCTACACTGCTAATATTTGTCATAAACAACCTTTATTGCTACAAAAATACCATGAGCTGCATACAAAACACATATAGAAAATATATCGTCATAATCCTACTACTTGCTTTCATTTGTCGAATTGGAGGTGTTCACTCGGCTTATTTTATGAACGGAAATTTTAGCTTAGCAATAGAATATAAAAACAACTAGAACAAAAGTTGCTAGGCAACAGAGATGCGCATCTTCAACCATGAAAAAAAGTAGCAAAAGCAGAAATTATACGCCGTTAGTAATGCGAACGGTTGGCCATTCAAGGTAGATAGACTCAAAACTCTTGTTTTGTAATTTTAATAAATTAACATTGTAAGAAAGAAATATACATGCATTTAAAAAAAAAAAAAGTCAAGGAATTATAGTTATGTGGATTTTTATTTCTACAAAGCTATTACATTGCAAAATTTAAAAAGGTCAAAATTACTGCCTTGGTAGTTCTAGTGTTAACACCGTCAAAGGTACAAGACATTAAGGAAATATGAGAAGTGAACTATAAATGCCATTTGTGCAATAAAATTACGTTGCTAAAAATCATCGCAACGTTTATAAATGAGACCCCAGGTGTAAATGGAAATGTGTCTCACGCATCTACTTGTCATTCAGTCGACTGAAACGCTTCTTAATTCCAGGTGTAGACAGGGCCTTGGTGTATTTATTCAATAGACCAAACTCATTTACTGCGTAATTCATTGTTTTAATCCATTTACTTTAATGTAGTTCAAACTTTATTCCCTCCTGCTACCCGTCTCCTTTCTCAAACTTTACTTTCTCTATTGCCGCAGCAGCTTATTTCGTCAGAGCCAATGAAGCTCCCCTCTGTCCAATCTGTTCACGGCCATTCAATCCCCTCTGAACAGAATCCGCCAAATCTGTTCACGGCCATTCATCAAGACTGCATGTGAAATTTCACGGGTGAAATTGTGACACTGGGGTTAATTTTTATTTGTCTTTTTTTCACCTTAGACTCGATGGCACTGAAAATTAAAAGTCAAGAACTCAATGAAGTTGAAGAGAAAAATCAGCGTGAGATGCATCATGATTTCATGACGGGTGAAAAACCTAGACAGACTGAAAAGATTTCCTCACGAAAAAGAGCTCAGAAGACCAAACCTAACAGTTCTAATCGAACACGAAAACAAAACCTTGAAATCCACAAGAGTGTTCGCACTAGAGAGATGTTTATATGTGATCAGTGTGGAAAGAGTTTCTCAGGCACGAAATGCCTTAAAATGCATGCAATAATTCACTCCGCAGAGAGACCTTTCATGTGCCACCAGTGTGGAAAGACTTTCAAATTAAAGAAATACCTTACGACTCACTTGAGAGTTCACACAAAAGAGAGGCCTTTCACCTGCAGACAGTGTGGAAAGAGCTTCTCACAAGAAGCACATCTGAACGCTCACTTGAAAGTTCACACTGGAGAGAAGTCGTTCACGTGTGATAAGTGTGGAAATAGGTTCGCACGTAAAAGAGACCTTAATACCCACATGACTCTTCACACAGGAGTGAGACCTTACAACTGCAAAGTGTGTGGGAAGAGTTTCTCATGCAAAGGAAATCATAACAGTCACATGAGAATTCACACGGGAGAGAAGCCCTTTATATGTGATCAGTGTGGAAAGAGTTTCAGATTTAAAGCAACTCTTAGTTACCACATGACTATTCACTCAAGGGAGAACTGTTTAAATTGTCATCAGTGTGGAAGGAGTTTTACAGACAGAAATGATCTTAAGACTCATGTAACGACTCACACTGGAGAGAAGCCCAACATGTGCCATCACTGTTGCATCTGCAGAGTCATGTGCTTGTGAGACCCTATTGGTGTCGAAGAAGTTTTAAATGACATAAAATTAGTAGTGATTGCAAGACCTGAATTGAGTGTGTCAGATAAGGATAAGGGAGACATACAAAATAGTGTGGTGTTCTACATGTATTGTTGTTGTTATTTTCTATTGGATTTCCTGAGTTTACTTTTAATAAATTAGTTTACTTTATAATCTTCTTCTGCCTTCATCTTTATTGGACTGAAAACATTCCTGACCATGAAAAGGAAGATGGAGATCACCTTCATTAATGTTGGTATTTTTCAAGACGGCAGGAACCTGGAGGATTATGTGGAAGAGTTTGTCACCGTCTGCCACCATGGTACCTGTGACGACCTGATCCTCATGAGCTGCTTTTCCACTGTTGGGCGGGCCAATAGCGTTGCACCTCAAGCCGCAAGCCCAAAATCAAGCTGCGTTTCCACTGTTTGGACTAGGGCTACAGCAAAACCTGGCCTTAAAGGGTTAGTTCACCCAAAAATGAAAATTAGGCTGTGTTTTACTCACCCCCGAGGCATCCTAGGTGTATGTGACTTTCTTCTTTCAGACGAATCCAGTCGGGAGTTATATTAAAAATTGTCCTGGCTATTCCAAGCTCTATCATTGCAGTCAGCGGGTGTTGCAGTGCTTCAGTCCAAAAGAAGTGAAATAAAAAGCACCCATCCATAAAAAACAGTGTCTCACACGGCTCCGGGGTGTGAACAAAGGCCTCCTGTAGCGAATCGATGCGTTTTTGTAAGAAAAATAACCATATTTAAAACGTAATAATCACTTTAATCTAGCTTGCGCTCACTGTTGTACACGGAAGCAGCTCCGGGCGAATGACGTATGAGGTCAGCATTTGCCTATTCACCGAGAAGAATAAGCAAATAGTCTGGTGACGTAGGTCTGTGCGCGTTTCAATACCAAGTACGCAAATTTCGGACTTGCATCCTCAGTAGTTCGGACTTCGCGAGTTCGACTCAGGAGTGTGAACTCCCGTGGACGGGACGACGCAGGTCCGGTAATTCTGCAAACAGCAGCGTACTTGATAACATCAGTCAGCTCACCTTGGCTACTGCATTTTTCCTCACTGTATTTACAAGGTGACCGTGATTTCACCAAGTACAACATGTTCCTGGATCAACATCCTTGTTGATCCTGGAACAACATTCCAATTAACCAATCAGAATTGAGGGATAACTTTTCAGGAAATGTCTGTTTTACGCTTACAATCAGGGTTAGGTGCTTCTACACCCTTGTTAATCAGCTATCATTTCACACTGATTTTAGGATCAATTATGGGTAGGGTTAGGTTTAGGGGTAGGGATTGGGTTTAGTCTATATTTTTGGACAGTAATGTTGATCCAGGATCAACAAAAGATGTTGATCCAGGAACATGTCTTACTTGGCAAAATCACGACGACATAGCAGTATCTAACCACGTTTGAGCAACTGGCTGAAGCTTATCTGTGGCCAAAGGCAGACTGGGCAGTTCATCTGGTTCCATTGCTAACGGGGAAAGCCCGAGCCGCATTTGTCGCTAAGGCGCCTGATACTAACATGGATTATGACAAGCTGAAAGAAGTACTTTTAAAGAAATATGAAGTGAATACTGAGACTTATAGAATTAAGTTCCGTGCTTTGAACACCAAGCGAACGAGTCGCCGATAGAATTGTACGTTCGACTCAAGACTTATTTTCAAAGTGTGTTCTGCTGGAGACGGTGACAAAGAAGGAATTAATGGAGACTTTGGTGCTGGAGCAGTATATGAGAGTGTTGTTCCCGGAAATTCGCACATGGGTTAAAGAGAGGAATCCGGCAGCTCAGCTGGTTGAGTCATACCTCGCGGCAAGGAAAGGTTCTTCGACACCCCTTCGCTATGCTGGCATTCTGCAAAGCACCAGAGGTAGGTCGGGGGGTAGTACGTACTCGCAACAGCAAACGCAGATTATTAAGACCACCCACCCTAATCCCAGACCTTCTGTGTTAATGCATCAGTCAGTAGACAAAGACAATGTTGTTTGCTATAATTACGCAGAGCCGGGCCATACTAGTCCTCATTGCCCAGTTAGAAAACCCAAAACCGCTCATTTGTGTTACTTACCTACTTCAAGTATGTCTACCTCCATTAGTAAAGAGCCCATTATTGAAGTGTTACTGAATGGTAAACCTGTAATGGCACTTGTTGATACCGGTTGTGTGCAGACACTAGTACAGAGCCAGTATGTACATAGAGATACATGGATGGGAAAAAAGGTGTCCGTTTGTTGTGTACATGGAGATCGGTCAGACATACCAATGGCAGAAGTGTACATTGAGGTTAGTAAGCAGCCATTTTTGATGAAAGTTGGAGTTGTGGCTAACTTACCATATCCGGTGTTGTTGGGTACGGATGTGCCCATATTAACAGATTTGTTGCAGAAAACAGCACTGTGCGCTGCGGTAACGAGAGCACAAGCTAAAATTGTGACTGAAATAACGCAGACACAGAGCCAGATAAGTGAATTGCCCTTTGCTGATGTCGATGTAGAAGCCGACACGAAATGTGAAGTCAGTCAGAGAATGTTGAAGCATAGAAATGAGGTAACTGATGTAATGCAGGCTTCACAGCAGATCAAGGTAGAGCTAGAGGAGCCTGAAGACATCGAGTTGAGTTTCAACATTTCAAACGAACTAGCACTTATACAAAGAGAGGATGTTACACTAGCAGAGTGTTTTGACAAAGTTGGGAAAGAAAACGCAATAGATATGTTGAATGGTGAGAGGTTTTTGATTGAAAATGATTTGCTGTACAGACAATCAAAGGAAGATGGTACACATTTAGTGGTTCCCGAAAAATATCGCAATCAGGTGTTGCAACTTGGACATTCTATTGCTTGGTCAGGTCATCTTGGGTTCATGAAAACGTCGATGAGAATATCAAAGAGGTTTTTCTGGCCAGGAATGTTCAACGAAGTTAAGGAATACTGCAAGAAATGCGCTGATTGTCAGCTAATGGCTAATAGAACCCCCGCTGTAGCGCCATTAGTGCCTATACCGGCAGTTAGTATTTGTGATTATGCAACCCGTTTTCCAGAAGCATATCCCTTAAGAGAAGTCACCACAAAGCAAATTGCGAATGCACTTTTACACTTCTTCTCACACGTAGGCATACCAACTCAAGTATTAACCGATCAAGGCACAAATTTCATGAGCCGCACATTACAACCGGTTTACCAACTCTTAGGTATCGAACGAGTACGTACAACTCCCTATCACCCCCAGACTGATGGGTTAGTTGAACGGTTCAACCAAACTTTGAAAAGTATGCTAATGAAGTTCATTTCGGAGACTGGAAAAGACTGGGACAAATGACTACCGTACCTTCTCTTCGCTTATTGCGAAGTCCCACAAGCATCTACGGGATTCTCCCCATTTGAACTTCTATTTAACCATCAAGTAAGAGGTCCGCTAGACGTCCTGAAAACCAGCTGGGAGGAGAAGGATAAACCGCGCAAGCAAAACATTCTGTCTTATATGTTGCAGATAAGAGAAAAAATACAGCATGCGACTGAAACAGCTCAAGCAAGCCTGCAACGGTCCCAGGAAAAACAAAAAACTTGGTACGACAAGAAAGCCGTCTACGAGTGTTCCAGCCGGGAGACCAAGTGTTACTATTACTACCAACATCAGACAACAAGCTGCTAGCGAAATGGCAAGGCCCATACAAGGTTATCAGGAAAGTATCTGCAGTGAACTATGAGATTGAAATACCATCCAGACAGCAACCATTACAAATATTTCATGTCAACATGCTGAAGAAGTGGCATGAGCCCACTGAACAGCAAGACTCGATATCCAGCAAGCAGCAGCTACTGGTGAGAGCTGTCAACAACGATGAGGAAACAGAGGAATTGTACTTACCTGTACATCAGAGAAACAGTCTCCTGGATCTTCAGCATCTGGATTCAGTGCAGAGGGGACAACTGCTGGAGAACATCCCTCTGCATCTCTTCCAGAACATACCTGGGAAAACGGACATCATTCAACATCATATTTACCTGAAGGATAGTAAACCTATACATCAGCAGCCATATAGAGTACCACAAAAACTGCTTCCAACAATGAAACATGAACTGGATGAAATGTTGAAATTGGGAGTAATAGAGCCCTCCGACAGCGAGTGGAATAACCCCATTGTCCTTGTCCCTAAGAAGGATGGATCCATCAGATTCTGTTTGGATTTTAGGAAGTTAAATGCAGTCGAAGTAGGTTCGACCCATACCCAATGCCTCGGGTCGTTCTGATCGAGAGACTGAGCAATGCACAGTATTTGACCACGCTTGACCTTTGTAAAAGCTATTGGCAGATTCTACTGAGTGAACAGAGCAAGGAATTAACAGCATTCAAAACCCCTTTTGGGCACTTCCATTTCCGGGTGTTACCTTTTGGCTTGCATGGGGCACCTTCGGTATTCCAGAGGATGATGGACCACATCCTCAAGAGAGACAGAAACCTAGATGATATAATTATCTTCAGCGAGACCTGGGAACAACACTTGCAACATCTCAATGAAATCTTGTCAAGAATCAGGGTAGCTGGACTTACCATCCGCCCTGATAAATGCAGCATCGCCAAACCAGAGACAGTTTACCTTGGACATGTGTTGGGACATGGGGTAATTCGTCCTCAGCAAGGGAAACTCGAAGCAATTCAACACGCAATTGAACGACTAAGAAACAGGTCCGCTCTTTCCTTGGGTTGGTGGGGTGATATAGGCGTTTCATTCCCCAATTTTCTTCCAGAGCGGTAGCCCTTACTGACCTGACAAAAAAAGATAAATCGAGCAAGGTCAAATGGACTGCAGACTGTGAAAAAGCTTTTGTGGACTTGAAAGAAACGTCGTGCAAGGAGCCAGTATTGCAGAGCCCCAACTTTGATCAATCATTCACGGTACAGACAGACGACTCAGAGTATGGTCTGGGTGCCGTACTTCTCCAAGGACAGATAGACCAATTGCATCCTG